GTATTCTTCCTCTGTACCTACATTCACGTGCACGTGAGGTCTCAAGGTACCCACTTTCGCTGTGTCTAATTTAAGTAGCTTGTACACTGATAGCACGAGCGCCCGGTGTCCAATTGCACATTCGGTTTTACCTAAACTATGGAATACGAAAATGATAGATAGTATTACATAAAAGTATACTATATATATGATAGAAAAAGAGTTGAATGCAATTCACATCTCACTTCATACAAATTATTGAATGTCTTAAAATATCTTGATGCATGTCGATTACAAACCGAGACCGAACTCGTCCGTGTTTCTAAATGTGTTTGTCCTTGGTTTGTAATCATTGCTTTAGATGTATACAAACTCGACAACTAGCAATTATCTACGGAACAATCTATAGACATACAAGCCCGAAGGGCAGGAAGCAGGTGTGCGTCCGAGAAGTCAGGCGGCAATGAGGAGATGCAGACGAGGACAGTATCTTTTATCCGTGGCCTGCGATGTATTGACAAGAATGTCGTTGTGGATACAGTAGCGACCAATCCCTTTTTTGTAGTCAAAAATTTTGGTAACATGATGTCGTTGTCCTTGAGAAAGAGCTTTGGTCGTCTCGGATGGACATGAAACTATTTTTTATTATAATTCATTATAGTATAGTGAAATAGCATTTTCCACGCTCTTTGGATCCCTTGAAATATTGCGTTACGGCCCTATGTCTTCTACTAGTTCACTATTGTACACGTATTCATCAAATTCACTTAATATTCAAGATAACCAAGAGTGATGAAAACGAGGTGATTTTTGTTTGACTATTTGAGCAGTTGATATCAAAGTTCTTATTGATAATGTGTTGGAAAAGACGGTAAACAGAGGGTGATTTCGAGACAAAATCGAGGGAATATTAAGAAGAAGCAAAATGCGCGGCATAAACGACTGCCAGGTCTTAAAATTTGTGTTCTGGCATAGTTTCAGATAGTGAAAGAGCGAATATATGTCGAGAGCAAAGGTCAGATTGGGCAATAAATGCACAGGAGAGCAAATACAAGAGCTTTGGTAGCGTGGATAGTGCCAAGACAAACTTAGAATCTGTTCACCGTCATCTACGCAGTACTACCATTTCTTGCAGAACGTAAGGAATGGCTGTAACATAAAATGATATAACTTTATGAAAAAAAATTTGATGCTTAAAAAGCAATTAGTAACCTTTGATGTAGTCGTAACAAGGTAGTCGTATGGGAACCCGTGTCTGAAAGAGATCCCAATACAATAGTAAATTCATTTTTAATATTAGGAAAATCGTCTAGTTCATAAAATTATTGCTATCAAAATTTTTGTTATGGGTGCAGATTCCATTTTCCGGTTTTTAGTTTACTAAAATTTTATCAATTTATTTTATCAAATCCAAAATAAATTAATTGTAGATTTTAAATTAGAAAAAACCTAATTGTTTTTTCATTTTTGTTTAGCTAAACAAATAAAAAAAATTGTAATTTGTTATTTTCAAATACAAACATCACACATTGAATTTGAATGAATTTTTTATTCAATTAATGTGTAAAATATCAAGTCGACCGATGAAGTGGACGACTCAAAAAAATATGAAGATGTGAAAAGACAAAATTTTGAAGTACTTGAATCTTCAGAATGTCAAAAGGGAGTTGATGCTTTCACACCTCCTATCCTTCATCTCACATCCTTCCTTTTGAGGTCAATTTTGACACCCTAATATCCAATTTAGACTAATCTATAGGCTTACCCCTTACATCAAGATTCTTTACGAATACGCAAATAGTAGATGTGAACAATGTCAAATACCCATAATAACGCCCTCCTTCTACCTCTATTTACTTTATGCGCCTATAACTAATACACTATTCATTCTGGTTCCGATTTTGCAGACACACGCTGCTGCTTTGTTGACAGGTCATTTGTACAATCAAGTGATAGTCTGGTAAAGATGAGAGACTGACAGTACGTTAATCGCACGGTTGCATCTCACAAGCTGCCTGCATGTAAAATAGTGCTTTCGCCTACCAAAAGAGCGCGCAACCATCGAAAATACGCAATGAGCTTGTGTGATTATATGCGAACACCTGCACCTTTCTTTAATCGTGTAATAAGTTGTCAAAATAGATCCCGATCGTTCGTTTGTTCCGCGGCCCTACTGCGGGAGCTGTCCGATCTGAGTACAATGACGTACTAAGGTGTAATGAGTGCGGCAATGACTTTGCAGCTACTTTGCGCATCTAAATCCAAAAATTGAGCTATTTGCTCAAAGTGTACTCCAGACCGCCTGTGGGGGGTTGCGAAGGAGGACTAGACGGACATCGCAGGAGGTCGAGAGAGGTATGCATAACAGTTCTGGTGAAGGGATTATTCTATTATTCTGGCATCTATGCTCAAACGTAGAATTATTGTAGATGGTGTGTACTCTATCAATTAGTAGACTGCATGGCGATGAACTTGATAATGACGTCGTTTTACCAACTACTGATCGCCCCTTCTAATATTACACGAATAGGCCAAGATACACTCGTGAATAGTTCCTTTTACTGTATCACAGCTTTGATTCCAAGATTCGTCTCGCATGGCCCTTGAAGGTGCACTCCTGTCAAGCGAATATATTATTGGAGAAGGGTGTGAAATGTAGGTACGCAATATGATTCAATACTCTCTCGATTGTTTTACGTAGAGAAAGAATGCGAGAAAAGGGCTAAAATAACTGGTTTGGCAAAAGAAGGCGAAAATCAGGATTGGCAGGAAGGATGCGAAAATCAAGATTGGAGGAAGGATGCGAAAATCAGGATTGACAAAGGGTGTGAATTTAAGGAAAAGGGGTGCGAATGTACCGCTCCCTTAGAATTTGATTTGGAGGAAAGATGATGTTGTATTGAGTGCAGTGTCGCTGTACGCTTTCTGGCTCGTGCGTAATACGCTTGTGAAATTACACCGCTCTTCGCCCGTAAAGAGATGGAGCGTACTGGCGTTTCTATTATGATACATTTGACATCAACTCCCGAAGACAGCCGATGCAGCATCGACGCGAGCTCGGATGAAGAGATTGCACTATTTGCCGTGATATTTACATGTGTCTCCACAACGGCGGTGCCCGTCTGGCCGACATGTTGCCGCGGACCACAGCTATGCTTTAATTACAACGGGATGGTCGATCGGAATGGTCTCGTACTCCAAGACATACAGGCTACTCTCGCTTTCATTGTCGAACGATGAGGACTGGGGCTTGAAGAGCTCTCCTAGCTTCATCCACGACACACCCGTGCGCTTTCGAAATATTTCCTTGTGCAACATGTATAAAGAAATGCATGTGGCATCTGCCAAAAGTTTGGTTCTGCGCCAAGCGCCCTGTCCAACTGCTTCAGATCAGGTAAAACCTGTCGATTCAAGGGCTGAAGGCTTATTAGTCATCTTGAACCTCGGACGGTGCTTGCTGAGGGCATGTACAAGCAGCTGATCAGAACAACAACAAAAAGACAACTGGATGCGAAGCAGTCAGAATGCTGGTCGAGGAGAGCTGGTAGAATTCAAGCCAGATGATTACAACCCATTGATCTCTTCTATGTTTGCCTAAGAGGTTCGAACGCACATGAGATAACACGCTGCTTTCTCTCGATCATGTGAGTCGTAAAAAGACGTCTCACCCTGTCCCTGGATCTAAACGACGCACGTGGCGCTTTTTGTTGTGGTTGATGTACCTTAGGCATCGCTGAGCGTGAGATCTGGCTGGAATCCACGGTTGCACACCAGCCGATTACAATGAACTGAATCCTGTTTGGCTCGCATAATACGACTGTGTTCTGTGCTAATTGCGACGAGGCTTTCTTCTCTTGTGCGTTGGTAGCGTGGCACCGCCTCTAAATTTGGAAAGCCCGAGGCTTAAAGAGTTCTTCGAGCATCATCGGCGACGTGGCTGCGGAGTGGACATCTTCTCCGGCCAGGAGTGCGTCAACATTACGGATAACTAGTACGCAGCAGCTGAAAGCAACTGGCTTACGCGAACATCGATCGGCGGCAACTACCGTTAGTGGGCTCGTCCCCACGCCTGTCTCGAATTCCCGGTCAAGAACCACAAGGGCAGTGGGCCTCGCCGAAAACCAGCCACGACGAGCTACCCTGCCCGGTGCTTCTATCTTGGCTCTGGACCTCCAGCCGTCTTGCTCCTGTTTACAAGAAAAAAGACGTCATGAAAGCCTCCATGATGAACGACGTGCTCATGTGATTTTGTAGCTATTCCTAATGCAATGTGCACAAACAAAGGCATGGGGCATCCGCCAAAATTTACTCATTCAGATATGACTCGTGCCAAGTATTCGACTCCACTCGTTTCAGATCGGAAGAAACCTGTTTATGTAAAGTCTAGAGGCTTACCACCAGGTCAAGGCAAGCTTCCAAACATACTTGCTGAGGTGAGTAGATTGAAGCAGCTGATCAGAGCAGCACTGCAGGCCGACCAGATTCAAAGCCGAATCGAATCAGAAAGTCGACTGAGGAGAGCTGGTGGATCGAAGGCAGCTGATCGCAACCCACCAACCTCTTCGATGCTGCGCATGATGTGTCATGCACAGGAATGGGATAGTACAAACCTTTTTCTCGATTGAATAGGTTGTAAGGGTGTCCCACCCTGCCGCGAGATCTCCACGAGCGCGGCGCTCTTTTTGTCGTTGTCGATGCATCTTTGGCGTTGCCGAAGGGGAGAGCTGGCCAGGATTCGGCCAGCTGATCACCACCCATTGGACCCTTTTTGCTTGTACGATGGTGGCAGTGTGCAGCTGCAATGATGTCTCGTGTCTCTAACGTATCGTTTGTATGGAAGTATCTCAACTGATCCGATATCTTGACTGCCAGGCAGCTCACCTCTTTCCAGCGCACCTCATTCTTAAGCAGTGCTGTAAACTGTCATTCTGCTTTTTGCCACAAACACCGCACACCGCCGCACACCCGACCGACCCAACCTTCCAGGAAAGATGCACGTCCCCTCCTCTCTGGTCCTCTTCATGGCAACCGTCGCCTCCAGTTCAGTCATGGGATACGCTAGTGGCGAGCCTGGCATTTATCCGCCTGTCTCGCCGGAGACGCGCTGCAGCGACGCCAGTATCCCATGCGGTGATAAGGACTATTCCGCAAGCGTGACTTGCCACACGGGTCCGCAGTCGATGTTCGAGTTCAAGAGCTGCTGCGCCAAGCAGTGCCCGGATGCTGCTCTTTTCTGCAGCAACTCGGCCGAAGTTCCATGCGGCGACAACGACGTGAGCGTTTCCAGGTCTTGCCGCAGTGGATCGCTTGACGACTTTCGACAATGCTGCATGAGCAAGTGCCCGTCTGCTGGCAAACAACCCGACCGTTACTGCAGCGCGATCAATGTTCCGTGTGACGGACTTGACCACGACGCGTCCTCGTTTTGCAGCTGGCAGAAAGATCCTAGTGTCGAGTTCAAGGACTGCTGCTTGAGCCGTTGCGCGAGCGCCAGGGTTCCGCCTGGCTACAAATGCAGCGACTCCGGTGTTCACTGTGACGAGCTCAACGTCAAGGCCTCTCAAACTTGCGGCAACTATGAAACTCGCGTTGGCCAATTTCGAGACTGCTGCTATCGCGAGTGCCGGTCTCAAAATCAGTACTGAACTTCTCAGTCCTGATGATACGGGCACGAGAGCATGTTGACTGGCTTAGTAGGAAATGCGTGTTCGCCTGTTAGTCAGTTGTTGGGGGAATTGGGAGCAGTTGACGATAACTGAGTATGAATTTAACTGTTGAGCACTTGTTGATATTCATGCTTGTGTTTTATTGCGATGCGCTGTGTGTTCATTGTTTGTTACGGTCGTGGTTGCCGTGCGAAAGCCACTGCGAGTGAACGCACGTCAAAAATAGAAACTATCACTACGCGGTTCATGAATTTCGCAAACTGCTGTGCTACAAAACCCCATTTTATCAGCCACTGGAAAAAGTGACGCGTGACTTGTCTCGAACAATGCGTCGCCACGCCGCCGTTAGCACTCAATCAGATCATAGAATGGTCCAGTTCTTAGTCTTTCGATGCTACTCATGCCCCCTGATCATCATACTTTGCAAAGCCCAGAACGACAGGACTCCCTGTCACAACTGGCCGCATCACTCAGCTGAAATCATCCAGCTAAGTCATCGCAATTAATCCATCATGTCACCCACATTGAAGTGCCAAGAATTCAAACAACAATGAAGATCTTGACTGCCCAGCTCTGTATCGTCCAAGTCTGCGTTCTTCACCAACGAGACACTTCCTTCCTCCCACCCTCCCACCCCACCACAATATGGCACTGCTTCTCCATTGTGCTACACCGCTAGATTGTTAATATATGTGGGACCCTGCACGATCGTTCTCCCCGCGAGGCAGCCCAATCTTCTCCTTGTTTTATTCCCTCGAGACGACGCCGTCCGTCACGACACACTGTTCCCCGTGTGACTCTGGTTCTCCACTCTGCCCGTCACGCTTTTCTCTTCGTCGCGGTCTTTGCCGCCCTCAAAAGACGTGACAGTCGTCATCGTGCTCGACTCAGAGCTCGCTTTCAAGTCGAGCTTCTCCACAGCAGTAGCTCGCACGAAGCAGTTACCAGCGATCGAGTCCCACGTCGTTTGCCACTTTTTTACACGACTCTTTCAGGTGCGCATCGACGTATTTCTGCACCTCGACGCCAAAGTTGTTGTCGTCTTCGGCCTTGGGCACTTGTTGCTGGATCCAGAGCCACAGCAGCTAAAGCGCGCTCAAGAGCTGCGCGATCTCGCCGTCTGCAACTTTCATTATCGCCTACGGTAGAAACGCGGCCAACCCGGCCTGTGCATATCGTGCTTCTCTATTTTCGTCCAGCCAAGTACTCGGTGAGTGTGCACACGGATCGCAATGCGCTCGAGCAGATGAGGGCTACAATGTGATACCGAAGCCCCGGTCAATACTGATGACTATCTGCTGTATATACGCAAGGGTGGACAGCGCAGGCCACGTTTGAGGGCGACGGCATGTATTGCATGGTCGACTACACTCAATCGCAATATCCAGTTCTCAGCCGAGTCGTACGGACGATCCGCTCTCCTTCTACTGCATCGACGGGGATTGATACATCGAGAACGTCCCTTTCTGAGTTAGACCCCGGATTGTTCTTCTACCTCTGCTACCTGCCCATTGTAGACGTGTGACAAGTTTCTGTGGGACTAGCGCACCAGCGAATATGACTCCGGATATTGTATTTCGAATGCGCTCCTGGTTTTATTCGCTATCGTTTGCGTTCTTTTCGGTCTCACTTCGATAGAAGGAGTCTGAGTCACGGCTTTGTTGCGTTCAGCTGTAGCCTCGATGATCGGTCATGTGTATGACCAGCTGACCACAGGTCCTCACATTCTCGGATCATCTTGCCAGCATCGAGTGATTGTCCTGAAAAGTTAAGGTAAAGAGTGGTGACTCGTTTTTGTGCTGTTTCATTGGAATCCTTGGACTAGGGATATTTGGTAAAGAGTTCCGTGACTTTTGATCAGATGTGAATGCAATTTAATCTGGTTTTATGTTTACACAGATTCTACCACTTTATCTAGTATTTCATTCTTTTACTAGCCATTATCGTTTCAGCCAGTTTTTCTTACAGCTTTAGTATTTTTCACCATTGCTCCACAAAGCAGGTTCTCTCTGTGTAGTGGCTCGACATTTTAAAAAATGCGACAGAAAATCGTGCCGGAGGAGATTTGCTAGGCGCAATGTAGAAGGAAAGAGATCTACATACACGATGCACGCTCCGAAGCAGCACTTGACAAAGGACCTGTTTTGCCAGATAGTGGTTCATTGCAATATCATCATTTTCAGTAACATCTATCAGCGCATCGAACTCAAGTAAATCTTGCAAGCCACAGGAGATTAGGTTTAAGGCGATCGACGCGACTCACAATTGCAGGCTAGAATCAAACCGTGGTTCGTCAGATCTTGTTAACACTAATCTTCTACTGCATACCAAGCAACGTCTAATTCCAGCATATTCTGTCCTTCGCCATTAATTAAAAATAGCACCGACTGATCAGGTGCAGCAATAGATTCTGATCACCGCCTTGAGAAGGTCAATGGCTCGAGTATTGTATAACAATTGATTTGCTCCGTCTATTTGCACATGTAAATATCGAGGAGATTCTTGCTCTTAGTACACGTCGCAGCAAGAACAGGTCATTAGCTTTCGCATCATGTACAGTGAAATTAATAATTCATCACATCATAAGCCAAGTTCAGAAGCTCCTAACATCATACTTTTGACCCTTAAAAAAGGGATGTTCCTTCCTGACAACGTACGATGCCCAGACGGCTTCATTCTCGGCGGCGAAAATCCTCATTGTAAGGGGAAAACATTTATCCAAAGAAATATTCAATTTAACATAGCTAAACAAACACTTACTATTCCGTGTGTATTTGAACCGTTGCTAGCAAAGCAATCCTATTCTACTCGCAGGAAAGAGACGCTTGGACATCTTCACTCTCAAATCGCACGCAAACCGCATTTCTGCTATACAATTCCCGTCCAAAAATGACGGGAGTCAAGTACCCAGAACATAATGTAATGATCTTTAAGACACGATGTAACGGGGTGAATCGTTACATAACAATTATAAGAAATTGTTAATAGAGAGTTATATTCTCAGAATATTGTCATAAGGACAAATATTCTGTAACACTTACGAGTAGCTCCTAATTGGTTGATATAGGCCATTATATCAACCAACGAAGACGCGCCACGACAGACGCACGCAATGAGTGGTGAGCAGATAATTGATTTACACATTTGTATTTAGACATAGTTAGATGAGGATAAATAGTGATTTATTGCAGACATTAACTATGATAAATACAGTTCTACTTTTTACTTTAACCAAGTACTCGCTTCTTCTTACCGTCTTCCTCTGCACGTACGAGTGTACGTGAAGTTACGAGGCACCGCTTTATTCTGTCAATAGAATAAGGAGCTTGTACTGTCACCAGTACAAGCTTCAGGGTGCCCCGTTACACACGACATTCAACTTTAAGGAAATTCTTGAGGAGCGCGTCTCTCTCTCCAGCTGGCAGCTTCTTGTAGTGTTAATGTGAGCTAAAAGCAATTCTGAGTAGCGAGGAGTTGAACGGAGAAAACAACTTTGGTCATACTCAAGGATTGAAAGAGATGAGCCAGACGCATGAAATAATTCAGAACGCGTCGAATGTTTCAGAACTCATGTGTTGTGGAGGGTGGCAGGCCACGGTGGCGAACTTGGATAATCTACAGGTATAGGATATTCCGTAAGGTGCTAAGCAATCCATTTTAATTAACATGATCCGCGTGAGAAACGGCATCTCAATGGATTGCAGTTTCAAGACCGCGAATCTGCCTTACGGTGATACCAAAAGAGTACGAACGGGTTCCGTGGTGGGCACACCAAATTGCGGTCCATCTTCGCCTCCTTTTCAATTATCGCACGGACTGCCGTCGAAATTCGAATATGCGAGCAATCATCATGATCGATTGTTTGCATCCTCAACCGTCGGTAACTTCAAACTGCTTTAGTCAGAAAGTTTGGCGGATAAGGCAGGCATGAACAACAAAATCACTGTCAACAAACTGAAGGTAACCAGATGTATTAATGGTTGCACTCTGTATGCACTCATTTCGAAATCTTAATTTCTTACTCTTGTGCAAGGTGGCGAAATCTCCGGTACGACCCGCCACTGTTCATTGTTATGTCTGGGATTGTGGTGTAGTGGGTTGTTCAAACTGTTTGACGAGACCCCAAATCAATCACTGTGTCGGACTGCCGACTGTCTGGGATGTACCCCAATGCGGCATGTGGACCTTGACTCACCTTGTGTACCCGTCGGCTTGGCGGTTTCACTCTTCGGAGGAATCGTTGGTGATGTAGACGTCGGCCTTGATGGATGTCGATCTGGAGGGGCCGAGCGGATATGCTTTAGTCGGGGTCCAATGTAGGCGGCCACTCGATCGACTTAGTCAAGAGTAGTCATATAACCAGTTGTCTCAGGTGCTGGTGGCGCCTGACCTTTATTTGTCTCAGAGGTGGTAACCGCCTGGCCTTTATGTGTCTTCTGCCTTACCACTAGGGTACGGAGACCGCTTCCTAGAGCGGGCTTGAGTTGGGGGGGGGGCTACTCTACGAACTCACAGGCCAACGTACTTCCTGGGGTTCTACTTACGCTTGTGTCTTACTGAAAACTGTCTATTCGACTGGTAGGCCGAACATATTCCTGGCCCAGAATAGGTCGGTAGACATACAAGTTATTTAGCACAGCACATCGTGCTAATTAGATCGCAAATGGAGTATTATTTTAATCTTATCCTATCCTCTAAACTTCCTTACTCTATTTCTGCCTTGCGCCTAAATTCGCAATGATGAGTAGCTAGAAGCCTCCAGACCTTGAGGGATCTAGTCACCCAAGGGGTGACCAGGGAAGCCGATGGGTGGCCAGGTCGGCTCACAAGTGACCGAGGTCCACCTTAGGCGACCAAGACGATTGAAGCGTGGTTGATAACGATCCACATCGTTACCGTTTAATTGGTACCGTTATTCGGTTAAACTCGTTAGCAGTAACCTTAAACGCTCATCACGGTTGGACCCAACGGCCGCTCCTTTCCTGTGACCCCCAAGTCTCCGGTCTCTTTCCCGGCCGCGAGGTCCCGTGTCCGTCCGGCTCATCGAACCCTAAGTCCCTCCTTTGGATACTCGCTTTACCACGGGATCTTGGTGGTATAGTAGTTTGTTCGATTTGTAGCAATACAGCATATAACGCATGGACATAACCATCGCCGTATGGTCGACGAATTAGGCTAGTACATTAGGTTACAACCGCTTCGCGGTGCGCTCATTCAAGTTCAGTTGCGGCTTTGGCCTAACAGATTTCTTGCAACTTATTCCTCTAAAAAACTGCCTTAATCTAGCATCTTCTACAACTCTCACCCCTGTGACACACACCAATGGATGTATGTCTGCGTCTTCACGCGTTTACAGGCAACTGGGCGCAGTGTACACCCGACTTAAAAACTAACGTTATCCTAGGTTAAAAAAAAGCCGGCTCTTCTATCGAAGCGAGTTAAAGCAGTTCTATCGATTGAGTCACTGGGTCATCGCTCGACGTGACTAAAAACGGGGCCATCTATTGGGATACTGGATCGCCGTGCCACAGCATTTAAAAGGTGCCTTCGATTGGGCTACCTGCTCGCCGTGCGACGAGACTTAAACTGGTGTCATCTATCGGGCCTTAGCTCACCGTGCGACGAGACCCGAGACGATGCCACATATTGAGCCACTGGCTTTCCGTGCGACAAGACTGAACTTTCGCTGAAAGCGGGAACTGTCCTTCCCAGGACAAGTCAAAGTCTTGGCGCTTTCAGTCAAAACCTTTACATGCTATGCCTCTCGAGGTCCGACGCCAGGCATAAAGGAACCCACATAGGGACTCATCTGTAGAGTTTACGATTTACTAAGAAGCTGAAAATTATACACTGCATGTAATCATCTCATTTCTACTAAAAAGAGACTATTAGGTGGCTCTCATTACTTTAATTCTCCCGTGCAATAAACGAGTTCCTTGAACGGTCAACTTATCAACTGCTTCGCTTAATTTAAACTCGGCGAGTCTGAAATTGACAAGCCTTTACTCGAAAAATCTGAACTTGACGAGTCTAATCTCAAAAAGCTTATCTTAACGATTTCCATCCATAATAGTCTTATCTCGGCGAGTCTCATCTCGACGAGTCCTTTCTCAGTGAGTCTCATCTCGACAGGTATTAGTTCTACGAACTCTAGATTTTGTAATCTGCCAGTAGGAGGAATGTGTAGTAAACAAATCCCTTTACCTCACATGCTTCAATTGTTTTGACCAGGGGCTTGACAGCATCTTGTAACCTTGCAACAATTCAATTTCAGTACGTGTGAACACTGTTATACAACACAATAGAAGGCGTTACTTGCGCTTGTCATCAGCCACGATACGGGCGAAACAGCTGAAATAATTACATCTAGCTTCTACACATTCAATTTGGTCAAAATTATGCTTTTCTTACTCTTGCTTTGTCAAGCTTTTTAGGAAGTCAGAAGACATCGTGATGTGTGGTAATTTCTTTAGAATATTAGTGATCTGAGAGGTAAAATTCTTGTCCAGTTTGCTAAGAAAGGATTGGAGATTTGTTGCAAACGTGGAGGGCCGTATGACGACCAGAATGCTCTCAACACTACCCACCGGAAAATGTGAATAGGATGTCGCCGTTCACAATTGCAAACTTGAGCATGGTTTAAATGTTTAAAAACCTTTTGGAGAAAGCGAGTCTTAAAAAGAAGAAGGTTAAATATTACCGTGGCACGTTGGCGTGTTGACATAAAACGGCTCGCGGAAAGAAATTGCACCGGGGACCCCATAATTCGACACAAGTCAATCGTTAGTACCTTGTCATCTTCTGGCCTGTTGTTAATGAGGACCTCAGACTTGACTTTCACCTCAAAGGGTGGTGACCCTGTGCACGACTAAGCCGTGCTGTTGGCATAAAAAGATTATATAATTAGCACTATAACGCAGATAACCTGTGCATTGAGAACCCTCGTGCACTCGACTGTAGTTGCAAAACCAGTTAATTTTTTTTGTAATTGTTGTCTTGGCCTAAATCTTTGCCATCTCAACATTTAAAGATGAGGGCGTCCGACGATAAGCGTGGAAAACCTGCAGAATCGCAAAAAAATACTACAAATTCATAGCATTGTAGATAGGAGATTGTTGGATTCACTCTCTCTTGGTTGCATTCACTCCCTTTTTATTTGTTGAGTAAACATTCAAAACAGCCATTTCTATATATTCAATAATGTGTAACATCTACCCGTTTAGCAATAGATATTATACAGTATTATCCTGCTCGATCAAGATATTTACTGGTATGATAGTCTTCCACCAATTTTTATATCAGCATCTTAAACTGAGACATGTTTGGACAGTACAATTAAATCACTTTGCAAGTTTTCGTACCACAAAATTAGCCACGGGTTTGCACGACGTATTCTAAACGTGCTGAGAGCAGGATAGATACCTCAGCTGCTCTCCATTTCTTCGAAGGCTTGACGATGGAAAAACATTCAAAACACACAAAATGACTGAATTACGAGCAGAAATCATTTTCACGTAAATGCTTATTTTAATCGTTTTGGATACTAAAAAATGCGTCGATAAGAAGAAAGATAGAAAAGTTATGTATCGCCTGGTTTTTTATAATAACTACAAATTATAATTAGCCACTTGTTAATACACCATGTGAGTATCGGCCTCATTTTTCTTCTTCTTATGAAATCTATCCTGCTCTTTACACTGGTCTGTAAATGTGCGTAAGTGCCCTTCATCGCCAACGTTACTGTTTTTCTGTCTTCTGTTTTCTCCTTTTCCCATTCTATTTTTTGTTGTTGAGATGTTTTTTTTCATCTTTGTCCGTTTAACGCCATTCAAAGCTCCTTGTCACCGTCCGTCGATTTTGAATTTCAATAAAAATATTCGTTTATAGTGCCCAGCCTCGCTGCGACAAACACAGAGGAAACGCGAACCACGCACGCGGTATGAAAGTAAAAAGAGTAAGCGCAATAGAATAAGATGCTTCCTTAATCTAAGTACGAAATGCCATTGTCCGCATAGTACACACGCTGACTAGTCCATGCAGAATCCATAAATGTAGACTATTATGGTTAAACACAACGAAACGCAAATTCAACGTCACCTCAAGGTCGCCAAAATTCTAGCAGTTTGCTTTTTAAGTGCGGTCTTGTGGCCTTCAAGCACAATTATTGGAGTTGTTAATCGAAATATTATGCAATCACTAGACGTATACGCATTCTTATCCACATGCTTATAATTACAGGCTAACAGTGCACATAAAAGCGTTGCCGTCAGGTCATTGTGACGGAAAACACTTAGCTTGGGGATTACGAAATTTGACGCATACTAGAACGTGCAGAAGAAGGTCATCTACGCAAACAGCTGGTTTAAATAAAAGGAAAAAATAGAAATGTACATAATAATATTAAGCTTTTAATACAACTTCAGTCTATATCTAAATATATTAAACCATGTCGTCGAATGACGACAACCTGCTCACTAGTCATTGCGCGCGTCTAGCAGCGACTGGTGGTATTACATGGCTGATAATTCTTAATCAGCCAAAATTTGAGCAGCGCATAAATAGTATCCAAAAGGGGATAGTGTTCCTTCAATAATATCCATTTCCAATAGTAATGGTAGGATTTCGTCACGCTAGAAAATATCCCTATTGACACCGTTTGGAGTCAAACCCTGTAACGGGCTACCCCGTTACATCACCCTTCTTAAACATCGATCACTCTTCGATTGAATAAAAATGACTGGGACAGGGTGACCGCCGTTGAATCACACTGGAAAGGTGAGCATTTCTTGGTCAAAAATTGACTCATTTGCCAGTTCATCGCATGGTGTCAAAAGTCATTCGATATGATGCCGAAGCTGCAAGAAAGGCGGTCGCACGCATGCGTGCAGCCGGAGAGAGCACTTCTCTTGCTTCAGAAGCAGATTATACTTCGCCTGCTGTTGCAAGTGAGTAACAGGTAGTGTTTGTTGCGACTTTTCCACGCGGTGAGCCGCAACGTGCGACAAATACATCGGCCACGTCTGCAGCGGGTGCTGCGACTCGCAATGTGGATGAGCCTGAAATAGAGATCATTTATTCTGGCGAGTTAGATAATGCATCCGACTTGAAGGCGTCGCCACCTGCCTCTAAATCACCTGGGAAAGAAATTGCAAGAGCTAGATTGACTGGCGCTTAGAAACGTGGCGGCGTCACGTCTTTAATTTTTGGATTGAGAAATTTGTCCGACAAATTCCCGTCTCACGCAAATCCATATGACAATAGGACACACGGTGATGGTGGTGACACACCTATGCGTCACCACGATAGAAGAAACTTGAGGGATCGAGCTGCTACTGGTGTCAGTGCCCATGCAGACCGCACATATAAGTCCAAGGAAGGCAATTTCCTGCGTCGTGCCTTTTAAGTAAATTTCCTTGGATGACAAATTCGAAAAGGTTGGATCGGGTGGCAAGTATGGCCACCAAGCGGTAAAAATCTTGCTGGTCGACTGTTGGAGGATATGTGCTCCTAATTATAGCACTTAAATTATCCGTGCTGAGGAAGAATTCTTCACCGATACGTTTTCAAACATCAGTGGTACAATGGCGGCCGTGTTCGAGACGGTAAGGCCTTGGAAAAACGATGTAGTGCCCTCATCCACAACATCGAGTGTATTGGCCGTGAGGCCTGGCTCGCCAAACTTGTTGCAGCTTGCACCAGGTTTGAGAGACGCAACCCCGTTGGGGCGCAATTAAAGTTGCACCGGCTTTCAGGAGAGGCAGGATTACCCTGTCTCTCGTGGGGTGGTTCGTGTCCAGGTTGCCTGGACAATTCGAACCGTGCCCCTAGGGAGGATCATCCACCTAATCTTCCCTACTGGAGGGCGCGCACCTCTTCCGAGATGGCCGAAGGGACTGACACCTTGCAATCCCTGTAATCGCGTTCGAAGAGGTCATTTTCCGACGGCCCTTCTTCCATCGCAGCGGGCAAGTCTCGTCGTACTGCTCGAAGAGACCAAGGACATCAACAATCAGCTGGACACGAGGCTCCCAGCTGTCTCACGCCGGTGGATAGCCACGCCAGCGGACGAGGTAACTCGTCCGGACGCCATTCACATCGCGGTGGTTCAAAATACGCTCCACTAGGACGCGTTGACCCCCGCTAGAGTCCAACAAAGGATGTGGTGGCGGCCGGAACACCTGATCCGGCTCGAGGGTCGGATCAGCTTGACGTTCAAGAGCTGAACCGTTTAATGAAACTATTGCAAGATGATCTGGCTTACGAACGGATTCGACGTTATGGGCTTGAGAATATTGTAAATGACAATTAAAAGTCTTTAGCGCAAGATCGTTTAAATTTCTTGCCGCGTTTGCGGTTGCGCAACTTGAGAACGAACGTTCGATTTGATCTCTCTGTGACGAGCTGGCTGTAGCTCGTCGAGGCATCGCTGAACTGCGTGAACAGGTCGCTTCGCTAGTCAACCAGATTGGCTCGTTGGAACGGAACCACTCGAAGGTGGTCGCGGCTTTCGACCGCGGAGGCGTTCTTCGCATCTCGAAACGGGCTCGTACTGATAGTACGGGCGGAGACGACCCACGTAAAACGTATGATGCGTCCGCATCTTACGGGGCAGTTCAATCGTGTATGCGATGCCCATTCGGCGCAACACACGAAATGGACCGATATACCTGGACAGTTATTTACTGCTGCCCACGTTTGACACAACGTGTTTTGGTAGATTAAATGTAGACAGTAAAACTAGGTCTCCTTCATCAAATGAAAGAACATTTTCTCTTCCATGTTTGTCTGCGTTTCTCTTCTGTCTGTCTAGTACATCTGCAATAGAGTCTTGAACGAAGCGGACAACCGCTTCCGAGTCAGCAGCAATTCTTTTTCTGATTCATCCTTGTCAACAGCAGTGCGCTTCGTGTGCACTGCTGACAGAACGTTTTCTTCATCAGTATAGGCTTCGCCGTCCTCACTTTGGCAGTCATTGGCGATGCTGAACATACCAGCATCTTCGTCGTCATCATCACCATCGATATCGATCGTATCGACATCGGCATCCATCACGTCGACACCATTGTCGACGGGTGATGAGCAAGAACCAGAATCGGGTTTTGTTCGAGTTCACCCCCCCACCCCCCTTAAACTAGAGTCACACTCGAAGAAGTCGGGTAAACGTGGATGGCGTAGGCCATTCACGAAGAAAGGTGTATGCGTTGTCGACGCATGCACCGAGTTGTTTTTGGCGAATTACTCCATCGGCAAGAGCTCACTCCAGCTCGTATACTAGTGGACATACCCTCGAAGTATCTCTTCGAGGATGCGGTTGACGCGTTCCGTTTGACTATCTGTTTTGGTATGGTCAGAAGTTGACATCGTCAAACGTGTTCCAAGTGAACGGAACACGGATTGCCAGAACTCCGCTGCTAAGCGGGGGTCTTCATCACGAGTTCACGGGGTAACCCGTGAAGTCGGAAGATAGTATCGATGAAGACACGCGCACAGCCCTGGGATGTGATTGACTCCGGTACAGCAGCACGATGTCCTATCTTGCTGAACCGGTCAACAAACACGCGAGTAAACGTATTCTTGTGAACGTCTTTGGGAAACCCGAAGACGAAGTCCATTGATACGGACTGCCAACACTCTGCCGGAATCGGAAGAGGCTGCAAGGGTGCACGGGATGAAGGACTAGGCTTCACCCGTTGGCAAGCATCGCAAGCGCGAATGTATTTCCGCACAAACTCGTACTGGCGGGGCTATTCACGACTCACTATGAGGTAAGTCTTTTCTCTACCGCGATGCCCACTTGTCGGGGCATCGTGACACTCATACATGATGCGCAATCGCAAATCATTATGAGCCGGAACGACGACACGAGGTGTGTCGCCGCTGACTGCTGTATAGTACAGCATTCCATCACGAACCGAATACCGTTCGGTTGAAAAGCGGTATTGAGACGACAAGCTTTTCAAAGCTTGACTGCATGGATTGGATACGTAATCCATCAACCGCAGAAGAGACTCATCTTCTGCGTATGCTTTTTGCACGTCGTCGAGTAGATTCGACGACGGAACACTCACTGTTAGTATTGCTACAGTGGGATCACCCCTACTGTTGGGTTGAGCAGTCGGCTCGAAATCGGGCCGACGCGAAAGAGCATCAGCGACGACATCAAATCGTCCTGGTTTATACTCGACGGAGAAGTTGTACTTCGCGAAGAAAGAAAGCCACCTCGCTATTCGTTGCAAGAGGTGTGGAATGTTTACGGCCGTGCGTACCGACGCATGTTCGGTAAAAACGATGAAGGGCCTATCTCCTGAGAGATGTACCCGAAACTTGGCCAGTGCATATTTCATGGCAAGAAGTTCATTGTCATGCACCAGGTACTTGTGCTTAGCTGCTTGCAGCTGACGCGATTGATAACAGACGACGCGATTAACCCCGTCTGAGTCGTACTGCATTAACGCGCAGCCGATTGCAAAATCGCTGGCGTCACAGACCACATGAAATGGTCTATCCTGACCTGCAATCGCCAACACAGGCGATTGCACCAATCTTTTCTTGATGCCTTTAAAAGTGTGCTGACACTCGGCGCTCCATGACCACCTCTCGTTTTTCTTTAGTAGACGAGAGAGATGTACGGTCATCTCGCCATAGTTTGCGCGAGTGTTTGTGCAAGTACGCTGCCAAGCCAAGGAACTTTCTAAGTCCCTTGACGTCGACTGGTACAGGCCAGTCACTAATCGCCTTGATCTTTTCTGGATCAGGGCGTACACCATCTTTACCCACGATGCAGCCAAGAAGTGGTATTTTGTTCGCTGCGAACATACGCTTCTTGAGGTTCGCGAACAACTTCTGCTCTCGCATTAGAGAAAGAACCTTCCGGACGTGGATTCTATGAACCTCCACGTCCGTCTTTCCATTTATAGCCCGGCTATGGACGAAGACATGTCGAAAATAACTCGGTGCAAAATCTCGCACCAATCGCAAAAGGTTCGTAACACATCTGTTAAACGTTGCGGGGGCGTTACTTAGCCCCTGTGGCATCACTGGCCACTCCCAGAGCATACCACTGGAGGTGCTCACTGCTATGTAAGGGATGTCCCGTTCACGAAAAAGGATATGACAGAATCCATTCATCAAATCCATGGACGAAACGATGGTGCTCTTTGCCATACCATCTATGATGACATTCTTTCTAGGGATCGGCGTCTGAGTCGGTACCGTTTCAGCGCTCAATCTGTTGAGCGCAGGCACTATTCGCCACCCTCCTGTGGCCTTTCGCACACAGAAGGTCGGAGAGTTGTGTGGGGATGTTGATTCTCTCACATGACCAGCCGCTAAATGATCTGCGAAGAATATGTCGATAGTTGTTACCTGTTCACGAGGCAGTGACAACTGCTTCATGACACAGTATTTCGAACCAGGTTTCAGTTCGATCTCATGCCGAGTGCCCTTGTCCTTGAGCAGCTCGCATGGCACGGATTCCGGGAAAACATCCTTGAATTCAACCAAATCCTTACACAAAGGATTTGTCTTTAAAGAGCTCCCAAGATTGAGACGTGTATCGCTCAATCCGAGTCTTCTCATCGAGGACACTCTCATCCATGGATGAGCTACTGAGATCCCGTTCGTTCTCAGCAAACACTCGTGCCGACCGGATATCGGCGACGTACTCGTCCTCTGTGACGAGTACGCAGATCTGCTTGATCTTGTCACTACGCGGATCTCGCAAGAAAGTTATAGATTCTAGCGTTGACAACTTGACTACCTGTGAAGCTGACTTCGGGGGCGTCACCAGATCAAGTGTATAAGCGCCTACACTTGATCCGTCATTCACCAAGACATTAACTGACTTCCTGGGAAAACACATCCGCAGGTGGTTGGTGATCCACACCCTCGACATAACTCTCTTGGGATTTATTGCTCTCAGGAACGCCGGAATTTTCTTCCGTTACGTGCACAACCACAGCCACGTCCTCTTCGATCGAATCTCTTTTAGTCGATCGTGTTTGCTTTACGATAGACTCTCTGCTAGTCGATCCCTCTGTAATGTGTTGTTCATCCTGAACAACACTCATATCTCTTCAAGGATGCAACCTTCTTGGATGTGCATCCGTGTTCCAGTCCACTCGATCTCTTCGAGTGGTGAACCTTCGGCGCAGCCTGTGTCTCTACACAGGTGCCGGAAGCTAGTTCCACAGTGCAGTGGCCTTCTACGCTGTGATCTTGTGCAATCGTACTGACGACCGTACCACAAGTGAGGACATCGCACTCTCTCGTAGTACGTCCACACGCTTGTAGACGCTCCAAGACGTTCATCAGATGGCCATCCGATGAACAAACGGCAGGCATCTTTACGGATCGATGCTACCAGCTAACCCATGGCCGGTACTTTCTAAGCCATGGAAGACCAAGTATGACATCAAAATTGTCATCCAAATCTAATACGATAAAGTCATCATCGTATTGTTTTCCTTCTAGCGTGTAGTGGATTCCCACTACACGTTTGTTCACTGTTACGGATACGCCTGTAGCAAGACACACCGTCATCCTCGTTGGAGGGGAACTCTTGCTCAACATAGTTGAGCCTACTATCATCTAGTTACTGGCGTCGGACAAAACTGTTCTACGCCCATCGGTCAATTAGGGCGCGAAGTGACATTCCACTTGTCACTATAAATTTCAAAGTGATGAGAGACTCCTCATCACTAAGGGCAGTAACACACAGCGACTGTGTGTTGGAAGCAATCTTTGTCAAGATTCCTGCAAATTCTCTTGACGTTACTGGATCAGCAGGGTCCTCCGCTCCTACTGACCCTGACCGTTTTGACGGTCCGACTTGCTGTCGCAGTTTAGCGACATGGTCGGATCCGCGCCTCGGACCTTTCCTCGGCCAACGGCGGTCATCACGTCCTGTCTTTGGACGTTATGCAGTGCTTATGATACTACACTCATGAACGTAGTGTCCGATCTTTTGACAGCGGTGGCATCTTGCCGTTCGCTTGTGACTCAGAGAGCGAGATTTCTCCCTCTCAATATAACAGAGGTCCATTGGTTCGGGACCTCCTGTTTCCTGTCGTCTCGTCGGACGATAGTTTGACGAGTTAGCCAGAGACTGTCTCAGGCTGAAGTCTTCTTGTTCCACATACGCTATCGCCTTTTCCAGCGTATGGAAGTCCTCTCGGAACATGTAGGTCTTCACCGACCCATCCACAATGCCGTAGATGAACACGTTGATGAGCGTGTGCTTATGAACAGGGTTTTCCGTGACGCTTCTCGCAAGGTAGCGCAGGTGTTGTGCGTAAGCGCGCACGCCACGCTTACCTTGCTTTATCCTCAAGAGTGCAGAGCGTGCTCTGAACTCGTCTCTCGGCGGCTCAAACGTTTCTTCAAGCCGAGACTTCAAGATCTCCAACGACGCAAACACATTTGGGTCGTGAAGCTTGAGCCCTAAGGCCCAAGTCTTTGCTCTTCCTGTCAAATTTGACAGGGCGAAGGTGACTTGCATCTCTTCACCTCGATGTGACGGGCCCTGATGGCATCGTCTAACTCGACGAACCATCTCAAAAGGGAGTCTTCATCGGTTCCCTTATACCTTGAGATATCAATCTTCAAGGTTTCGGGTTGACGCATGTGCTACGGCCCGCCCATAGACTGATGAGAGCCTAGCTGTTGTAGCAAGGATATCTTCTGTCTTTCGACGGCAACGTACCCTTGTAGGAACGTGTTGATAGCGGCATGTTGCTGATCTCTGCTTAGCGACTCCAACATACCACTGATGGCGGGTTCGCCCATGAGCACACTCATGCGGCCGACTACCTCCCATTCTGAGTCACTCAGATGGGAGTAGCCTTCACTTGTGACGTGAAAAAAAGCTGTCGTCTTCTCCATCCAACATTTGCATATTGCACGGACACCAAGGAGTCGTTGGACGGACTACGGAGTGCTACCAGGTGTAACGAGGCAACCTTTGTTTGTGGTGCCACGAAAATTCACGTACACTAGTACGTGCAGAGGAAGCTAATCTACTTAAACGACTCGTTTAAGTAAAGGTAAAA